CTAAAAGAACTTGGACCGAACTACATGACTTTGGCATGATCTTATTAACATGAATTTAATTACATAAAAGGAGGGTAAATAGGGGTATACCCTTAAGTTCGGTCGAGGATTGTACGGCGATATGCGTGTGTGTGCAAAGCTTGAACGCGTGCGCCTTAGCTTCCCTTATGCTTCGATCCCTCTTAGTTATTTTTGTATTATTTTTCTCTTATTTTTCCTTGTTGTTTTCTCTCTCAAATATATGCTGAAGTTAGTCGGATTTTGGTGCATGAAATGTGCATGAAAAAGTTACACGCACGGTTACTTATGGAGAGGTAAAACCGAGGGTGAACATTCGGTCAAAGAGGTGGTGAATGACGTTATTTCCCTTGATTACAAGTGGCATAAACGTGGCTGAAGTGTGGGTGATTTTGGCTTGGTCATTGCCGAGGTGGCGGCCATGCACGGGCTTAGTCATCGCCCGTGCGTCCGTGTCGAGCCGTGTGTGCAAGCAAGGAGGTGACTCACCACCCCACTTGCACACCCAACATTTATCCTTTGAATTTCCCTCACGGTAATTCTTAGGATGGGGGTTTGGCCTGATCGTGTTGCTAAGCATTGCCTAATTGCGTGCTTAGCGGCCTAATGATGCGCGCGCGATGGGAGATGCGCGGCAATGCGCACTGCGTGCGTTCGCGTGCGCGGCTTCGCGTACGGCTGCGTGCAACATGCGCGTACGCGTAGGTGCATGATGTACCTTGTGCTCACTCACGACTTAGTTTAGTTCTTAACCTCAAACTTAGATCCGAACATTCTTAACTTTCAATGATTAATCCCGATTAATAATGTCTGTTTATTAAAATAAACGGTTCAGAAATTAATTATCGAATTTGACTCGGTTAATAATTAACCGAATAGACTTTTCGACTTAAAGTCAAACTTATTTGCTGAAAATGAACGGAATCAATAAAAGATAATACATCATTATTATTAACAAGAAGTTGGGTTATTACAATCTACCCCCCTTAAAATATTTCGGTCCTCGGAAATATAAAACAAAATATATATACATGAAAGATATACATATCAAAACTAAAAATCGGGAAAACGAGCGCGAATGTCAGCCTCCTTCTCCCAAGTAGCTCCGTGGCGATCCCATTGAATACGAACGAGGGGAACATCACGCTTCCGGAGCCATCGAACTTGTCGGTCCAACACAGCTACCAGTCGCTCCTCGTAAGATAAGTCTGGATGAATCTCAATATCAGTGTGAGGAATGACATGATCGGGGTCGCACAAGTACTTGCGAAACATAGATACATGAAAGACATTATGAACATTGGATAACTCGGGAGGTAAGGCTAAACGATACGCAACATCGCCCACTCGCTCGAGTACTTCGAACGGGCCAATGAACCGAGGGTGTAACTTTCCTCTTTTCCCGAATCGAATGACTCCGTGAATAGGACTAACTCTGAGAAAAGCGTGCTCGCCAACCTCGAACTGGATGTCTCGTCGATGATGATCGACGGTTGATTTCATTCTACTCTGAACTGTTCTGAGTCTCTGCCGGATCAACTCGACTTGCTCTGCCGTCTCCTCGATCAGATTCGGACCGAGTACTCGACGTTCGCCGACATCGTCCCAATAAAGAGGGGAACGACATTTACGACCATATAGTGCCTCATAAGGAGCCATCTTAATAGAAGAATGATAACTGTTGTTGTACGCAAACTCGACGTACAGCAATAGCGACTCCCATTTAGCACCCCTGTCAACAACCAAAGCGCGTAACATATCTTCCAGCGTCTGAATAGTTCGCTCTATCTGTCCATCAGTCTCGGGATGGTAGGCTGAACTGAATGCTAGCTTCGTACCCATCGCCTCGTGTAAACTCTGCCAGAATATACTGGTGAATCTGGGATCTCTGTCTGACACGATAGTAACAGGTACTCCATGGAGTCAAACGATCCCACGGACATAAATCTCAGCTAACCTATCCAAAGACATACTCATCGATACTGGCAAGAAATGAGCAACCTTAGTCAATCTGTCGACCACGACCCAGATAGCGTCGTGATGTTCAGACGACCTCGGTAACCCCGTGACAAAATCCATCGCAACCTCCTCCCACTTCCACCTCGGAATCGGCAGTGGTCGTAGAAGGCCTATGGGACTCTTATGCTCGGCTTTGTCCTGCTGACAGGTTAAACATCTCCTTACAAAGTCGGCTACGTCTTTCTTCAATCCTCGCCACCAAAATGACCTTTTCAGGTCATGATACATCTTTGTACTTCCTGGATGGACTAGGTATGGTGCGGTATGAGCCTCAGATAGAATCTCCTTTCTCAATACTTCGACTTTCGGCACCACAATCCTGCCACGAAACTCCAAGGCCCCATCAGTGCCTCGGTGAAAACCTTTGACGCCTCCGGCGCTAACCTTGGCATCAATCGTACGAATAAACTCATCTGAAGCCTGCTCTTGCCGGATTCTCTCCCTCAGCGTCGGCTGAACCTGCATAGAACTCACACTCCCTGTACTGACTGTAGGAAGTGCATCAATCACCTGAATCTGTATCCGGGCGAACTCCTGAATTAACTGACTCTGCTGAGTAACAACATATGTCAAGTCACTCTTCACCTTGCGGCTTAGGGCATCAACAACTACATTTGCCTTTCCCGGATGGTACTGGATCGTACAATCATAATCCTTGACGAGCTCTAACCAACGGCGCTGTCTCATATTGAGTTCCTTCTGAGTAAAGATATACTGTAAGCTCTTATGATCGGTGAAAATCTCACATTGACCGCCGTATAGGTAGTGTCGCAAAATCTTGAGGTCATGAACAACTGCAGCTAAATCCAAATCGTGCTTCGGGTAGTTCTGTTCATGTGGTTTAAGCTGTCGTGAAGCATAAAAAACGACCTGGCCATCTTGCATAAGTACACATCCCAAACCCTATCTCGAAGCATCACTATCCGAGAGGGATCTGGAATAGTCAACACTGGTGCCGTCGTAAGCCTCCTTTTCAGCTCCTGAAAACTCGACTCACAACGGTCTGTCCATTCGAACTTTACAGACTTCCTCGTCAACTGAGACAAAGGGAGGGAAATCTTCGAGAACCCCTCAATAAACCTGCGATAATAACCTGCAAGGCCGAGGAAACTACGAACCTCGGATGGATTTTTGGGTGCTGACCAATTCTGAACTGCAGCAATTTTGGAAGGATCAACTTCAATACCTGCTTGAGTAATAATGTGGCCAAGAAAGGCCACTCGCTGAAGCCAAAACTCGCACTTGGAGAACTTTGCATATAACTTCTCGCGTCTAAGGGTCGAAAGAACGGCCCTCAGGTGCTCCTCGTGCTCCTTCTAGCTCTTAGAATAAATAAGAATATCGTCGATAAAGACAATAACAAACTGGTCGAGAAAAGGATGAAATACACGGTTCATCAAGTCCATGAATTTTGCCGGGGCATTACTGAGACCAAATGGCATAACCACAAACTCGAAATGACCGTATCTCGTACGAAAGGCTGTCTTGAGTATGTCTGACTCCTTGATTTTCAGCTGATGGAAGCCTGAACGCAAATCAATCTTGGAAAACACGCAGGCACCCCTCAACTGATCAAATAAATCATCAATCCTGGGAAGCGGATATTTATTCTTGATCGTCAACCGGTTAAGATCCCGGTAGTCGATACACATACGCATAGATCCGTCCTTCTTCTTGACAAAAAGCACGGGTGCTCCCCAAGGGGAAACGCTCGGTCGTATAAAACCGAGATTCAGAAACCCTTGAATTTGGGTCTTTAGTTCTTGTAACTCTTTAGGCGCCATTCTGTACGGTGCCTTTGAAACGGGTCCGGCTCCAGGGATAAGATCAATAGAAAATTCCACCTGTCGGCTAGGTGGACCTCCGGGAAGCTGGTCTGGAAACACGTCCACGAACTCACGAACGATAGGAATGTCATGAGGTGAACGTACATTTGGCTCATCTCCAACGAGGCTCACAAGGTAACCCTGGCAATCACCCCGTCGAAGAATCTTTCTGGCTTTCACCATAGAAATAACATGAGGCAGAGTACGAGTCCTGGAGCCGTAATAAATGATCTGATCATCTCCCGGAAGATAAAGAGTAATCTCCCGGTCGTGACATCGGATATCTGCGTGAAAACGTGTTAGCCAATCCATACCGAGTATGAGGTTAAAATCCCTCATCTCGATAACATAAGCATCAGTAATCAGAATATGACCGCTAATGGAAAGGCTGAGATCGGTGGCTTTAGCGTCAGTCACTATCTTTTGTCCCGAGGCTAAACTCACCTCGAGAGGATCGACAGCGGTAGTGGAACGAACCCCAATAGCTTCGAGACATCGACGTGATATAAAGGAATGGGTCGCTCCAGTATCAAATAAGGCATAGACAGGCACATCATTAAGAACAATCATCCCGGACATGGTACCTGGGTGCTGGTCGGCCTCCCTCTGGTCAACTGCAAAGACGCGGGCCTGCTGTCTGCCGCGTGGCTGTTGCTGAGGTCGTAGTGGCTGCTGCCTGGGCTGCTGTTGTTGAGGTTGTTGTGGTGGTTGACGTTGTTGTGGTTGTTGTTGCAATCGTTCTGGACAGTTGGGGCTGATGTGGCCTGGCTGGCGGCAAAAGAAACAAATGTTCAGGCCCACGAGGCATTCTCCACGGTGGCGCTTTCCACATGTCTGACAAGCTGGTGTTTGTCTGGGACGGGTCCTTCGGTCGTCAAAAGTGGTTCTGAACTTCATCTTCTTCTAGTTCTTTGATGATTGGGCAACGTTGGGCTGTGCTGGTGGCTGAACAACTGGCTGGGCTGGTGTCTGGGTGGCTTCTCGTCGGATACTGGCATCGACTTCTTGTGCAATGGCGGCAACTGTACGGGCGTAGGTCTTGACGCCGTGACCTACGATGTTGTGGCGGACTGCTGGGCGAAGTCCGTCAGTGAAACGATGGGCTCTCTTCGCCTCCGTACCCACAAGATCAGGTACAAAGGCTCCAAGACGGGTAAACTCTCTTTCGTACTCGTCAACAGAACGAGTACCCTGGGTGAGTGCCAAGAACTGGCGCTCCATGTCTGCTCGGTAATACGAGGGATAATACTTCTCTCGGATCAGCTCCTTGAATTGGTCCCACGTACAACCTTCTTTCTCGTCGGGACGCATACTCTAGTAGGCACTCTGGTATCGGGCATCACCGATCAGCTGGATCTGGGCACATAACATACGGTAACGATCAGGGCAGTTCATGACCTCGAAAATCATCTCGAGGCCCTGAACCCATTCATCTACTATACGAGGATCTCCTTGGCCAGGAAACTTTTCTGGATGGTAGTCACGAAACTGGGCGACCACCGTGGCCTGTGGGAGTTCCTGGTGATCTGGTTCTCTACGAGGAGGCATCTGAACATTGAAATATTTAACATGATTAATTAACATAAACGATTAACTGACTGACTACTTAAGTACACAAGTTTCTTGACGAGTCGTCAAATAACCCGAGAATACTAAAGTCGAACTATCAAGTAACTGGGACAATCAACTATGTTCTAAAATTACTCGAGCATCTTACTGGTTTCTAGGGTCAAATGTCTGGTACCCTCTTACTGAGCATAGACTTAAGCATTCGTTTAAATATATATAAATTGTAACTCAACACTTAACTGTAGTCGGCGAGGCGTGAGCGTAGCGTGGTCGGGTCTTTTCTGAAAATTTCTGACTTAAAAAGTATTCAGATACACGAAAACGTGCTCTGATACCAATTTGTAACACGCTTCTAGCTTACTAAAATTAGAGTGCGATTTTCGCAAATTCTCTTTTAAAGTTTACGTTTTAGTTTGCGAAACATATCTCGGGATGCTACACAAAATATTTCTTTTCTAAAAATCCGTTAACTTTATTAATTTTAAACCCATTTATGAAAAATGAATTGTCTTTTATAAACAAGCGTGTGATACTGTATAAAATCTGACCCGAAGGCTCGGATCGTCGTCTGAAAATTAACAAGCTCATTTGAAAGTCTGAAAACATCAGCGGAAGTAAAACGTAGCAAATACATACATATCAACAGTATGCAAAAACATATACATATTTACATGGACTGAACCGGCAACCACCAACTCCACTTACTCCTCCGGACCGACCCTACCTGAAAAAGATCATAATAGTGGGAGCGTGAGTACTAAAATCACTGTACTCCGCAGAAACTCATACTAAAGTAAAGATTAATAATAATATCAATATCATGACTGCAGGCATATATATGTAATTGTAATCTCCAGACACAAGGTCTGTAACTGAACTGAACTGTCTCGGACACTATGTC